GGATATGTTATTGATTCAGTTATCATTGACAATAAGCAAGCAGAATGGATCACATCAAAGATTGTGGAATCAACTAGGCGACTTCAGGCAAATCAGAGGATTTCTATGAAGCACGATGATGTTTATAAGCTTACCCTGCTTTATAGGAACAGCAAAGATGGTAATACAGTTGCAAAATTTAGGGAATTGTGTAATAACAAAGGACCCACAATTTCTGTTGGGAAAGTGTTGGGTACTGAAGAAGTACTTGGTGGATATAACCCATTTGCATGGGATTCTGACAATGGTTGGGTTAAGGCTATAGAAAGTTTTATATTTGCATTAGTATTAGATAAAAATATGAATAATAGTATAGTAAGTTTTGTCGCTAGCAGTTCAGAAGCCATTTATGATGATGTTTGTTTCCCTGATTTGGATTAAGTGATTTATGTTTTGGTGATTGCCAGGAGGTAAGACCTCATGCTAAGCAAGCTACATACCAACTTCCCATAAGACATTCTAAAAATTATTTTGAATGGGCTGATTGGGAGGTGTTTTCAGTTTCCAAATTTTAATTAACCTGAATTGCTTTATTGTCAAGTTTTGTGATTTGATTTTACTACAAAAAGTTGCATAAAGTTATTAAAGAATAAACCTGGGCACACAGATAAAATAAACAGTTATTAGTAAAAACTTAAATTTTACTTTTATACCTAGCATGGATATTGTGATCGACATTCATAGTGCTATACATAATATGGTCAGAAAAGGAATCATAATTGCAGTTAGGACTTATACCAAAAATGGTTATCGATTCTAGAATAATCTTCTTGAATTTGATTGGCTCTTACTCGTACATTTCAAAAATTTTTACGATATTGACCACGGTTGATAAACATACCAATAGACAGTAGAAACCCCCCTCCTTCATAATCACGCAAGCTTGTCTCATAATCACGTCTCTCTGAGAAGTTGTATAAGACTTGAAAATACGGTAAATTTATAGAAAATTGCTTTCGTCGGTCAACCTAAACCATATATAGGCTTATATATTTCATACCTACATACCCAAAGAAAATGTCGCAGTCACAGCAGTCACAAGCAACGCAAAAAGCCAGGGAATTTCTTTGTCTATTTGTTGAACTGGTTGAGAAATACAGTAAATTCGGATTAAAGCCCTGTGAGATGAAGGAATCGCAAGTATGGCGATATGCTAGTGGAAGTCAAGTAACTAAACGTCTTGCACTTCCTGAACTCATAGACTTCGAACCTTTTTGAACTCTTATTCTATTTGTGAAAAAACATTATAACTGTTGTATGTCAGATAGAAATTTATGCCAGATCGGAATAATAAAGACCATCGGGTAACGACCTTATAAAGTATTTTACTGACATTACGATATCAATCCTACATGCGTATAAACAACTGCGTTTGTTATAAATATATGCTATTTAACGTTGGTAAGTTTAGCGTAGGAAATAAATAATCTATATAAGCGCAAAAACCTTGTGGTATTACTACTTGTATTACGTCTTAGATTATATTGCCTGTATACACTTAAATCTTACCCGAACGATAATAATATACGCGTAACAAATTACTGCCTGTCGACTGTGACAGTTAAATATATACTTCATAACATTTTGTTGCTGTCATATGTAATTATA